AGTAGCAGTAGTAGTGGTAGTCGTCGGGGTCGTGGTCGTAGTAGGACTAGTACTTACTGGCGGAAATAGTAATTGCGCCCCCCCCTTCCAAAACAAAAAAAAGCCTTCGCGTGCGCCCTCAGCTGCTGAGTTCTCGCGAAACAACATCAATCTTTGGAAAGTCCAGGATTTCTCCCAGGTCGGGCGGACATAGCGCAAGTGAGCGGGATACATTTTCACATGAGGCAAACACCGCTGCAACAGACGCTCCGTCGCACTGTGCGTAGTCGTTTGGGTACTCATGGAGATGTATCAGGAGCAGAGATTTGCAAAGCTTAGCTAGCCACCGTGCAAAGACAAGTCTGTGATGCCCCGTTGAGGGTGAATCCCAAGTTTGCAGATCCTGAAACTTCACGACAAACCAATTCACCCCAATTGCAAAAGCAAATTTCCGTGCGCTGGATTAAGCCGAAAATCAATCGTTGCAGACCAGTCGCTGAAACACGAGAGCAGCTTGAAAACCTTCCCCTGTAAAGTAGGAGGCTGTGTTGCGCAAACGCTTTCCATTTCCAAGTAGCGGCGCTTGCAGCTTTACACCTTTTGAGGGGAAGCTCGCTTTGCCGGCGGCGGTTCTTCACCAATTGGTGAAGATTTGACGCTAGCCTGTTGGTGCTGGTCCGCCCGTGCAGGCAGCATCCTCCTGGATTTTGGCTGGAAGCCGCAGTTGAGGCTGGCAGGGTCAGAGTCAAAGCTTTGCACTGAGAACACCCAGTGAGCCTCACCAATCCTGACCATTTGATCTGATCATGCAATACCTCAAACTTCGGGGATGCGGCAAGCACTCGGAGCACTGGCCTGTGGATCCGCCAAGTGTTCCAATTGGGCGGGATGGTTTAGAAGAAGCAGAATCCGTAGGATTTGATGCCTGGTGGCATGTGTAATGCACAGGTTGCTATTTGGCTTCCACCCTGCTGTTTGTGGTATAACTAAGGATGCAGATGCTTGAAATGACAAGCTGACGCTGTTGGAGTGGTCACAGGTCCAACATCCAACAAACTTCACGCTGAGTTTGCTTTCAGATTCCTCAAATGAGGCCATCTCTGATGTTCGGTGCGTTTTTGTCCGGACTCACTCCCAGCATCGCCCAGCTGCATTCTAGGACGTACCCACCCGGCTGTCACCCAACGTGCTGACCTGATTGGCAAGACTCATCTGGCTGCACTTACAATGGTTGTATTGGCGCCAGGTGCCTGTCTTTGACAATGTGTCAGAGGTTGGCCGAGGTGTGGTGATGATAATGGCTTCAATCCGCTTGTGTTTTGCAAGGTCGCCTCCATAAAGTATGTTTTCCAAACAGCGCAGCAGGCAAGGCCAGATTGTGTGAGTGTCAATGAAGGTAGCGCCTTCTGAACCGAAAAGGGTGGGTCTTGCCGCGGTTTCTGTCAGGTTGCATCGCTGTGCCTTAAGCCATGTCCCGCACTGAGGACGAGCAACGCATCAGCCAGAAGGCTATGCTTGGTCTGGTATGTTGAATCAGGTTATGGTCAAGTTCGGATGGACATAGCGCCCGGCCGAGCAGTAGTGAGCAACTTGCTGATGCTAAGTGTCAAATGGCAGGTCCAATGCGAGACAAAAGCAGGAGGCAGGTAACATGGTATGCCAGAAGGTTACAAATATGAAGCACTTTGACAGAGGATTCCTCAGCGCATGGGAATTGCACGAGGCTTCAGGCCCCAGATGGTCTGAGCCTGATGTGGGTATTGATCCAGTAGACCCTCGACCAAAGCAGACCATACAGATGCTGAGATATATTGAGCTCAGGCGGGGTGCTTACTGGTTCTGTGGCAGTCCAGGGCTCAGAGCTTCAAGTAAAAGCTTGCAGCAAGTTTGCATTGCAATTCAGTAGGACCAAACCTCCTATCCAAATGCTTACGCAAGGTAACGTAGATACGCAGAGCTAAAGGAAAACATGATGTTTTGTTACTGCCACCATTGCCACTTGGCACAGACGTTTACTTTGGGACTTCCTGGCCCGCCTATGGAGCCATGCCCTTCTTGAGATTTCATGGCTAGTTGACTTGGTGTTTGCACATCTAAGTGGGCATAAATGCATTCTGACTGATAGCAGCGGGGCTGGTATCTACCAGTTGTTTTGCCGATGGATCAAGTTTGCAAATTTTGTGGAGGAAGTCATCTAGGCCTCGAAATTCTAGAGCTGAGGTCCCGGGCGCTGTCTTGAGCCGCTCAATCAAACAACAGATTTCTAATCGAAGTCTTTCTTAAGCCCTGAAATTGTATTCCACGATCAGAACTTGGCGGCATAGCGTGCACTTTCATACAACATGGGATCCATGTTGAAGCCGAAGCCTGACATTCCAGAACAGAGGGTGAGCATCGTACAGAAAGTGCAACTTTGTGAATGATTTGGGTCATGAAGTTGTGGATTGCTGCCGTCACAATTTTCCGGTGTACCTTTGCATCCTATACTGCACATCCAGCCTTCCTCACCGTGTGAATCAAAAGTGCTTGGACTTGAACAAGAAACTTCCCATGGGTGGCACCAGTCCAAGAAGTGAGCGCACTGCATGTCAGGTACACAAGCTGTTCTCCGCGCCAAGTTCTGCGTACGAGGTTGACTGCCTTTCAAGATTCGAGCAGCTGCTGGCGATTGTGTCGTTTCAATGACAGGTTGAGCTGGCCACACATCCTGGCAACAACTACATTGCGCTTCCGGAGATGACGGTCCTCCCATGCGAGCTCATATTCTCTGCTTGGTCTGCACAGCCTGGAGGCTCTCAATCTAACGGGCCGCAAGCTTCGATGCCACGAGGAGGAACGCTGCAAGCGGCTTATGGCCCATTTGATGCGATGTCGCGTCTACAGAGTCTACAGCAATAACCAGAGATGAGTCTGAAAGCCTCAGTCTGCAGATTTAAAAGTTTTGTTCCTAGCAGTTCAAGGGCCCCGAGGCGTCTTCGAGACTATCGTCAACTTTGACCGCGCTTCGATTGGCACCGCAGCCTCTGGTCCATGGTCTGTTACAGGGCATCTTTGTGTCGAGCGCGGTTTTCCCACTGAGTGGAATGTTGTGGATTGTCTTTCAATGTCTGTCAGATTCCTTGGTGCCAGGCTATGCGGCCAACCTGCAGCATACATTGATTGCGCTGCCTCTCTCTTATCTTTAGCCGACATTGCATCTTTCCAGATCGCATGTCAAGTGATGACCTTGAGGAAAGCGGATCCAGATCTGCATCCGGAAACGTCACAACCTTGGCTGCCAGTCCTGGGAAGTGATCGAGTAAAGCATATTCAGCAGGCAAGACGAGGTGCGCCTAAGACAGAAGCCCGCTGGACAGAGCAGGCCCCACCCGGAAAGACAGCAACGGCGCCACACAAACTTAAACCACAGACTGGCACCCTACTACAAAGCAGCATGCTGTATATATAAGACCGAGGTTGCTGTTGCGGCAACCTGGAATTTGCAAATGTTCAGGTGTGGCAAGCGGCCTTTTCCTTGCATAATGGTTTTGCACAGAGGCCGTACCGTTTTGTGGCGTAGCACATGCTGGCATGTGCGGATTGACGACGTACCGCAGCTATCTCAGGCTCTTCGCGTAAAAGCATTTAGCGTTTCCTTTGCTTGCGGTTGTCGATCTTAGCAACCACGCCTTCTCAGATTCTTCGTCATTGCCCTCGTCCGCCAGCGACTTTGCGGCGTCTGTATCGGCAGCTTCATCCTCCTCCGCGGCTTGCGCGGCCACACAGGTTGCCAGGCGCGCCGTCGCCAGAACAAGATGGAGGAGACAGCTGTCTCAGCCGCCGCTTGGATGTGCCGAATTAGCCATGGCGGACGTGGAAGCTGAAGGCTTAGGAGCGGGGTGAGAATGGGTGATTCCCTGCATGGGCCATCCAAAACGCCGGCAGTTCGTTGCCGAAATTGGCATGCGCGTTGTAAACACGTGCAGATCGGAATAGAGCGGAACTTTGACAGGGCCTTGAAGGCTCACGAGTGCTGTGTTGCTGAAAAGGGTGATGGAGACGGCGGATGGCGAGCACCTGCTCTTCATCCAGGACGTAGCCATTGCAGTGGACAGCAGCCCATGGAGATGTACCCTTAGGCTCTCTAGCCTTGAAGTCGGGAAGCGGGCACCGACACAGAAGACGCTTCCAGTTCGTTCGAAGGGCAAGCCGGCAAAAAAGGAGAAATCAGAAGTTCTGCGCGCAGCTACTTGAGAAAAGTCTAAGTTTGTCAGCGGGTGACAAGGCTCCCGATTGCTCAGAGTGGAGTGGCTCTCTGGAGGCCGAGGCGTTGGACTTGGGCCTCTCAGCGACGCAGGCGGCGCCGCCGCCGCCTCTAGGTCAGGGAGGGCTTGGTGGACTTCGAGGTCACGCAGGTGTGCCGCATTACATGAGCCAGCTCTTGAGGACGCTGAAGAGAACGACCAGGGGAGTTCGATCGGATGATCTTGAGACTGGACTGGAAGAAGGTCGGGTGATGCTGCCCTGACGGCGTTAACGTGAATGTGCGTCGACAAGTTGAGGCCCGACGAGGCTGCCGGGATTTCGTTGTTGGCTTCGTTTCGCAACGAGTACAACCTGACGAGAGTCAGCACTGACAGGCGACAGGTCATCCCGCAAGCCATGGGAAGAAAGGCGCTTGGGGCGGAGCAACGGCCAAGGACGCGCGAAAGGCGTTCACTTGACCGAGGTCGACGGCCCTGTGTGTAGTCAGCGAGGACATGGCCGCGGAGCTCCACACGGCGTACCTTGCGTGCTAGAACATCAGGTCGAGGCACAAACGCCATCATAGGTCGGGGATACGACGGGAGCGCCCTGAAGAAGAAGGCGCAGGCGCGCGTAAAGCTGGCGCAGCAGTGCAGCTATTCCAGCTGCGCTGGCAAGAAGAGGGGCCACTGGCGTGGAGACCCAGAGTGCCCGCCAAACAAGGACAAGGCGTGAACATGGTTCAGGTTCACTTCTCGGATATTGCTGGGAACACGAAGGACAACCGGCGCGCTCGGTCATGGGCTACCCCACCCTCACCTCCCACACGGAGCTGGTGGACAAGGCGGGCATGGAGAACTTCTTTGAAGCCCATCAGTTTTGGCGTTGAGAGCGTTGAGCGCGTTAAGGCAGACTTTGCGGCCTGGATTCTGAGAGAATGGGCGGTGGTCGGAGCCTAGCAATGCAAAGGCGGCAAGCGAGTCGAGGACATCGCTGCCGAACTGCTGCGTCCAAGGGATTGTCTTTCGCGTATTGTTGCGTCGTCCTGGGTCAGGGGCGTGAACGCTGGAACAGGAGACAACGCTTGTGGACTGATGGAGGCGCACATCAACGACTTGCTCCTGTGGACGTTGCTGGCTTACCGGAAGGCAGTCCAAGAGGCCCCCTCTGCATCTTCCGAATCAGAGATTGGAAAGCAAGTCGGGAACAATTACGGTGTGGTGGACGATGGCTGTGTCATGCTACGTCATCTCCGGGCCGAGTACATCGGAGACCGGATGATGACAGTTTATATTGATCTCCGTCTGTAGCGTGGCCTGGTTGGTTTGAGTCTAGAAGGTCCTATTCTTGAAGCAGGCGTGCTAACGCCTATGCAGCCTCTGCGCTTTCAAGCTGTGAGTGGCTTGGGCCCTCCAGCTTTTTGTCCCACCCTACCTTCCCTTCACTTCTACGTGGGGGGAATGGTATTTGAGAAGCTTTGTAGGAGTTCTTGTTCGATGTGCGTTTTTAGAGTCCAACTCCTGTGGGTCTCCCAGAGTTAGACTTTGCCATCGAAATTTGACCAATGTACACATGTAACATGGTGTCGTTGCCAACACGAGAGTTGTGTCACACCGGAAGTGAAAAAAGATCCGGCCGTTGAGCTATGTTCTGCTGTAAAGAATCCCAAACGGGTGCCTTAGGAAACGTTCCACGACAATCGGACAGCACAGTTGGCTGGCTGAGCTGCGTGGCAAGAGAATCGAGACCGGATTTTCTTTCAACGTGGCACAGGCGAATCAGAACACTATCAGAACTGCCCAACGATCGGAGACTACCACGATGCGGGGGAAATGCGGAGCCCAAGGACCCAGACGTTGGTGACAGCATGGGGCAGACGGTCGGTTCGCAGATCGGCTGCTTGCTGTTGGCAGTCAGCCGGGATGCTGTGGGAGGACGACCCGGAGCCGCAAGTCTGTTGCTGCGGCTGAGAGGTGGAGTGTGGTGAAGGCATGGAGTGCGTGATCCAACTGTGGGCCCAGCTGCTGCTTCTCAGGCTGGTCTATGAGGATCTGTGAGGACAAAGCCGCGAAGACAGTGATTGCCTGCAGGTCGGCAGGTCTCTGTGCGACTTCCTGCACCGATCTGGGATCCCAAAGTCCGCTGGTGACTGACCTGGCTTCCTTGCGACAGCTGTTCCTGAACGAGGCCAGAGGATCCGACAAGCCTGCGTTGGATGACCCTTGAAGATCCGATTGAATAATTCAAGCCAGAGACATTGTGGAACGCCATCTTTTGCGTTTTTCTTCCTCTGGGTGCAGACGCGCTACCATCTTTGAAGTGTCAGAAAAGACGCTGACTTTGCACGCGCGTCAATCTGATTGAGACACGCACTAGCTTTGGCATGCGCGTTGTAAACATGTGCATGCGGCGCTGTGACCCGCCCTTGAAGGCTCACCTGTGCTGTTTTGCTTGAAAGGGTTCTGCATGCGCCCTTGCTTTCGGCTTGGCACCGGCGAGTTAACACATTCTACAATGTGGGCCCAGGGTGAATGTGATTGTGCCAGAAGTTCCCATGACGGAGCGTTTCACTGTTCAAACTTTTACGTTTTTGTGGCACGTCTGTCTTGGGATTTCGGCGCTGGCTGCTACACGTGACATGCGCACGGGGGCAAGGCGGAATTGCGAAGTTTCTACGCTTCACAGTGCGCGCGCTGCTTTCGTGCAACTCACTCGTCACAAGCTCTGGAAGATGTAAAGTTTTTGTGGTCACCGGCCGACCGAATCTCCGGAATTCTTTGACACCTTGGCAATTTAGCTGCAAAAACAATCGGAAGCAAGCACAAGAGTAAAATCAAATGTCATCCAACATATTAATTTTGCATCTGCTCACCAGTTCATGTCATTTACTGGAAGCATGGTGCGATGTGTGAGCCGGTGTCCGTGACGTTGACCTTTACCCGTCAAGGACCTGCGGCCTCCTCACGGCCCTTGCAGAAAATCGCACCAGCAACGTGACAGTGCTCAAGGCTGGTGCAGGCTGTTTGTCACGCCACCGACCGCTGATTTTTGTAACGTGTCGCAGGACGCAAGGGGCAACTTGCTGAACAAGCTTGAGGGCATACTCAGCATGTATGAAGAACCAAATTCGACCTATGTTGTGTGCGGCTCAAGATAAGAGATGAAATGCAAAGCAAAAAGATCGCCTCGTGGCTAAGGTGAATGTCTTGGTGACGCTTGAAGGTGAATCAGGCCATTCCCTGGCCGCCATATTCCAAGAAACAACATTTCAGATACGCTCAGCCTGCTTTCAGATTCGCACAAGCGTGTATGCTTCAGGCTGCAAGCTACGTACCGCTTCAGCTTCCCGCTGGTGGCTTTGAGCTGTCCACCTCTCAGCTTCAGTGCGCTTCAAAGCAGCTGGAAACGACGGAGCATAAGCTGTTCCACTGTCTGAGGGTAGGCTGGCTGAGCCCCACCAGCATCCATTGCCCGTCTGCACCTCCTCCTTTCGCCGGCTACAGGCTGCCTGAAAGCAATATGCAGAGCACCGCAAGTCTGCCTTTTGCTTTTACCATATTTGTCCTCAGCTCAGCTGCTGTTTCATCTTCGGTCGGCTCTGATTCTGTGAAGCCTCATGAGGCGTTTTGCAGCTTGGCTTGGCTTCTCAACAAAAGCAGCATCTGCAAGGTGCAGCTTGCTTTTGCAGCCTCTGCGTTGGACTGAATAAGTGAATCGGGCTTCGGCAAGGGCCGTCAGGACGTTCGCGAGGCTTATGCAGTGGTATTTTGGGTTGACACCTTCGCATTCTGACGAGCAGGCAGCGCCTGATCGCATTGAGATGCAGATGGCTTATGATCTTCACGAGGACGCTTGCACCTAGGAATCTGTAGAAGTCTGGCCAAGCCCCGGCAGGAAGGTACGACAAGTCTTCTTGTCCAACAAAACTATGTTCCTCCCAGCATCTGACATCAGGCATGTACAGGCACACAAAACTGCGCGCTTCAGATTGCTCGGTTCAAAATGTGTGCAAGACATCCAGCTCGGCCGTGATTTCAACGCCTCGCATCTGCACTTGAAGGCTGCAAGAAATTTTCGGTTCGATGCAGATGAGCAGAAAACGTTTACTACACGAGTGATTCAGTTGTATCTTCAAACAGATAGATCTGTGAGGAGCTTCAGTGAGGCCTGTGCGGCATGAAGTTCAGATCAGCAGACAGCAAGAAAGCTGCATCTCCATTCAGAACTTCAAGCAGCTGATGCCGAGCCGCGCATTCGCGGGAAGCCTTCAAGCTTGGCAAAAGTGGCCAATGACACCAGCTGAGGAGAGGGATGGCGTGTGTGCAGCAAGTTGTTGTGCTTGTTACCCTTCACACCTCGAATTGAGCTTCGGATGTGTTGGCCACCAAACGCTAGAGCAGCCAGATCTTCGACTGTCCGACTTTCAGGGAATTTCTGGGGGACACCGTCTCAGCTTAGCAAAATGCATGGGTTGTAGGGGTTGGCCGGCAGGCCTGCTTGAATCATGCAGAGACCGCCCTTTGCGGGCTACATCTAGCTCCGGGAAAGTTCTCTGTGAAGAGCAAAGCGCTGGTGCATCACGTCGCTGCTGACATTGCTTATGCTTACTTTCGCCTAGGCCTCTTGCTGATCTTAGCTGTCCTGCGCATCCTCAATATGGTTTCGTTGGATGTTCCCCCAGTTGCAAGTTCCCGGGCACTTGGGCACAAGTGCTGCACGCAAGTGCTGCTCGGCACCTCTGCTCTCTTGCATGTTTAAGGTTGAGGGCAATCATATGCCGAAGCTGGCATGCTTCACAGAGTTTGAGGGCCCTTAGGAGGTGCTTGCAAAGAGCTGCATCTTATCATTGCACAGGTTCATTCGACTGTGATAAATGGCAACTTTAAAAAGTTGCAGGCAGTCTCCTACATGTTGTAACAAGAAGAGGGAGACCAGTGCGCACGTAGGCCAAGCTCATGCTCCACTAAGCGATCATGGAAAAGTCCAGAAGAGGCTTAGATGAGATGCTTGGCTTGCATAGGAGGCTAGAATTTGTCCGGCGCCTAGTCTGAGCGCAACGGAGCTTAGGAACATCTACGGGGTTTTTGCTGAAGCGGGCCGGGATGACCGTCGACAGCGACCGTCTTCAACGAGCAAAACCAACAAGCCTGTCAGCTTCGTCAGAGGGCAGACCCTACAGCCAACCAATGTTTCAGCTGCTTGGCAACATGCAGGAACCAAGAGTTCATTCAATAGTCCGTCTGCTTTCACTTATTGTATGTGTGTCTTGGGTCTGTTACTCTCCACAGTCCAGGCCAGGAAAGTTGACGACGATGCTGCCAAGGTAGAATCGGATGATGAGGTTGACAGCAGATTTGTTTTGGATGCAAATGCTCCGAATGCCCAGGGCTTGAAACCAACCATGGAAGGGCCAAAGTTACCAGCCCGAAACAAATTGTCGTTCAATCAGATGGCCAACAATTACGGAAAGGGTTTTTCGATGCTGCAAAAGATGGGTTTCACAGGTGGTGGTTTGGGTAGGCACAATGACGGCATTGCAAATCCGATTGAAGTACAGAAGCGCCAAGGGAAGATGGGTTTGCAGGATGATGGAGAAATGGTAGGTCAAGACCTTTATGGCAATGAAGGGAACGAAGCCGGACGCCGTTCTCTGGAGGAACTCCTTTTCCCAACAGATCAGCCAAAGGGAAAGCGTGAGTCAGTCAGTGATGGCTGGAAACGTGATGGCAAGCCGAAGAGGCAAAAAACAGTTTACAAGACAGCAGATGAAGTGGTTAGTGAGCCCACAATGCGTATCGTTGACATGCGTGGCCCAGAGGTGAAAGTGGCCTCATCGTTCTCAGAGCTTGCTGCCAGTCTGGCAGGAGACTCTGTGAGGAGTTTGAAAGAGCTCCGACACAATACTCGCTTATTGGTTTCTCGCTATGAGGAGAAGATCCGAGCGAGCATTGAGCGCCAACGGCATTGCGAAGACGTCCTCTTATCTGTCGCCAAAGAGAAAGAAAGGGTCGAGGCAGCTGAAAAAGTCAGTGATGCAGAGCTGGCAACGTGCAAACACCTTGTTACAGAGATCGAGGCCTTACGTGAGCAGCAAGACCAGGGAACTCTGAGCTTGCTCGATCTCGCCGACAATTTCAGCCGCTTGCAGAAGGCTAGGCCTAAAGAGTTCAGAATTCTGGCGGCAGTTGATGTGGCATTTGCACTAGCACTTCCCACAGCCAGACGCGAGTTTGCTACCTGGCAACCACTGAAGCAGCCGCATGATCGCTTGAAAGCCATTGCAAGATGGCAAGATATGGCCAGTGCCAAGACTCAGGAGCAGTTCTCAGCCTTGATCGAAGCTTCTCTGCTTCCCTGCCTGCGTAAGGCGCTGGTAGTGTGGTCGCCGCGTGAGCCAGAACCTTGTATCAGGTTGGTGGAGAGGTGTCGAACACTTCTGCAGCCGGTATATGCAGACTCGCTGATTGCAGAAGTTGTTCTTCCCCGATTGCGCTCCGAAATCGAGGGTTGGGACCCACGATTGGACACGTCATCGCCACATCTATGGCTGCATCCTTGGCTGCCATTACTGGGCAAACAAATGGATATTTTGTGGGCACCGATACGTTTCAAGATATCCTCCTGCCTGGACCGTTGGGAGTCTTCGGACATGTCTGCCCATGCATTCTTGAAGCCATGGCAGCATGTTTTTGACCCATCCAACTGGGACCCTCTCATTGAAAAGGTCTTGTCCAAGATTGAGAAATCAATAGGACAAACGCCAGTGGAGCCGGATGGTCAGAATTTGGAGTCATTAAGGAGCCTTTTTGCATGGATGGACCTTGCTCCTTTGGACAACATTTCGCGTGTCCTGGAGTCCGCGTTCTTTCCACAGTGGCACGGCGCACTCAGACGCTGGCTTCGCGATTCTGAGTGCGACTTTTCGGAGGTGCTGCAGTGGTACCAAGGGTGGAAAGCACTTTTCCCGAAAGAGCTTAGAGAGCAAGGCCGCATCCAGAAGCAGTTTGCAAGTGGACTGGAGGCCCAGAACTTCACGCTTGGTACCTGGCAGCTGTTGTTGTGATTAAGTTGTGAAGTCTCAAGTGCCAAGCTTGCATGCGCGCGCCCCTGATGAGGTGATGAAACACATGATGACACATGGAGTTCCAGATATACCCGATTCTGAGGGCCCTGCAAGCTCGAAAGGAGATGACAATCGCTCCCCAGCATCTGCAAGGCTACCTGTTGATGAAATCAGCCTAAGCTTGAGCGAGTACATCTCTGAAGTTGCAGCTGAAGAAGGGCTGATCTTTCTTCCAAAGCTACTTGTCAGAACATGACTGTCGGTCTGGGCTGAGAGTGTTTGATGTGAGTCTAGGTCTGGGCACCAAGGAAGCAGCGGCGCAATGGAAAGCAAGTTTATCAGCTCGGGGCGGCCACGGTTCAGCTTGACAAAAACCTCATCTATGTTTCGCCACCAGCCAATGGCGACGGCGAGTGGAAGGCCAAGCTTAGCTGCCTGGGCTTTTGCTTCCCTTAGATATTCCGGATGGCCCAAAACTAGGTTAGTTTGTAGGTTCGGAGGGTCTGTTACTGTTTGATGCCAATGGCTGATGCTAGTGACGGTTAGTGACATCATGATGACTCCGGCATATTCTCATCAATGGCACCAGGCTTGAAAATTGAAGCAAGTCTGAGCCCCTCACGTGGCAGTTTTGTGCACCATTGGCGTCACGATTTGCGGACGACTGTTGCAAGCGGGATTAGTAGCTCACAAGCACAGGTCTGCTGAACAGAAGTGTTCTAGATCTTGGAGAAGCTTGTGCCATGCCAGGCTGCCTCCATGGATGAAGTACTTGCGCTGGCGCGCGCGACGCCGCGCAAAAAAAAGTAAGCAACCTCTACGTGAACCTTGTACACTCGTGATTAGTTCAAGGTCAGCCTGCCAAAGATGACAAAAATGTTGGCTTTGTTGGAGAGTGCCTTTCGTGTAAGCGTCATCATCGCTGCTATTCTTGCTGAACCGCGAGTTGCACCAGACCGCAGCCGTGGAGCAGCCTTTTGTAGCTGACATTCCGCTGCCAGCTTGTGCTGAAGGTATCAGGGTGCTCTTGGCACGGAACTTCATGTTCAGGCGCTTGACGCTGCAGGTACAATGCTGCTGCAGGCTTCCAGCATAGTATGTTATCATGCTCATGTTGAGATGCATGAGATTACCCAGCTCTCAAGGCGTTCCCCAAGCCGGTCCAAGGTAGACGCAGAAAGGCCGGGATTCGCGCAAGTTATGCAAGCTGGCGAGCGCTATCCTTGATTAAACCTGCAGTGACAGTGGTGCCAGGGCCGACTCGCGGGTCATGGTGCAATAGCATATTTCAAGAAGTGCTTCTGGGTTGTGGAGTTTGTCCAGTTTTTTTCAACGCGACACAGACATGAACATGATTCAAAAAACCTAGTTTCGGGAAAGGTTTAGAAAAACCGGTAGATGGTCAGGCTCATCATCAACATCATGATGATCATCATCATCATCCTCCTCTTCAGCATCGTTTGGCACATATTAGCCTTTTGACATTACATGTTCTCATGTGTGACACATACACTTGCCGTTTCTTGTACTTGTCATGGTTTGTCGCCATTGATTTGGTGTCGTCCTGGTCGCTGTCATGGTCCCATTACGCCGGTTGTTGATTCTGCGTATCTTCATCAACATCCCCATTGTCTTGTTGTCGTTTACACGGACGCCGCAAATAGCATGTGCATTGCCAATTGTTATTTCGCAATTTTCGTTGCCATGGTCACCCCAGCGCAAGGGCCTGTGTCAATTGACACGTATCACTTGTTAATGGATGACCATGGATGACCATATTCGCTGTGATCTGCATGATGCTCATCACTCTTTTCATCGTGAGATTTCATTATTGCCTCAACAACCATAATCAACATGGGCATCATAGACATAGTCATGAGGCGCAGAGTGGAGTCAGCGGCTAGGCTCATCACTTTCGCAATTCCCTTCAGTCACATTTTTGGTCATCACTCCCGTAGTTTTGTTCTTTGTTCAATATCATCATTTCTATAGTCTCCAATTGTATTTCTTATGCTTCATGGTATGAGGAGATGAGGCCCATCTTTATTTAAGGACATCCTGTTGGTGGGTGCTGCGTTCAGTCCTGCTGAGGGATGATGAGGTTGTGGAGTGCCGACTTGCCTAATTGTGCCTGAGTGTATGAACTCACATGATTTTGGGCACCCAGTCATTCCTGTAACTGTAACCCACTCATTCCTGTAGCGTGCTTTTGTCGAGCACGTGTATGGGAAGCTATCAACTTCGTAAAGTTGCATCCGGCTATGACACCACAAGCTCGGTGCGGTGGTGCCAAAGGACTGTGAGCAGGCCCAACTATCTTTTCCAGGTCTCGGTTCGCACCTGTTGAGGGCTTACAGGAATCCGCTGCTAGCATGCCTGGATTTGCCATTGTGCTGGGCCTGACACACCTTGACATGCTTTGCTGACGTGGGCCCCAATGTTCGTGTTTCGTCGGGCATGTCGAACCTTGGCTTGAAACATGAGCTACATGTAACTAGTCTTTTCTGAGTGTGCAGACGAATTGCGCGATACAAACGTCAGCCTCGGTTTGGCCGCTTACAACTGACCGGGGTTGATGCAGAAGAAGTGGTGAACTTCCTGCAAGCCATTGTTGTGCATTGTGGTGCGGTGAGGACGCTCAGTTGCAAGCGTTTGCATGACTCAACCGTTACTGAGTGTTCTAGCATGGCTGCTTGACATGCACAAAATGTTCAGATTTAACGCGGGTCATGAGAGTAACAAAGTTTTGCACTCTCCTCCAGGGATGTGCTAGTCGTGAAGTTCCGCCAGCGCTGAGCTTTGGTTTCTGCCGCGGGCCTTCAAGTCTTGCTATGAGCAAGGCTGCTACGACGTGGAGTGTGCTTGGAGCGACCACGCTGATTGCTTTACTTTGCTTGGTTGACGTGCACGACGCACATGTTTCCTGACAGCATTGGCCGCAGTGGAACTGTAGCTTGTTGCACTGCAGATACTGCAGCTTCCAACTTCCGAGGCCTGGCTCGGCCCCAGTTCCAGGCTGGCTGCTGCGGCTGCTGCTTTTGAGTCGACCCCTTTAGCTTGGATGTGCTTGGACATGACAGGTACCAGGCAGTTGTGCGAGAGGCAGCGAACGGAGGACCACTTATGCTTCAATGGCGTTGGTGCGGTGTGCCTGCAGCTGTGAGAAGGATCTCCCGACATACCCGAGGCGCTTTAGATCGCGTGCACATCCGCAGTGCAGCAAATGCAGCAAGCTTTTAATTCAGGAGAGGGGACGTGGTGAGGGCATCCAAAGTGGCATGCGCTCCAAGCTGATAGAAGAGGCGCTTGCAACCGCTCGTGCTGTGGCGAGTTGATGTTGTGGATCGAAAGCGGTTCAAATGTCTGGGCAGGCCAGGGCAATGGGCGATGAGGATTGCGTTACGGCACTGCAGTTCCTGCTAAGTTGCATTTGTGTCAATGTGTTCCATGAGGACACCCCGGTCTCTGCTGGCTTTGGCAACCCGCCCTTGTCTCGGAGGTGATCCTAGGCAGTTAAGAGGAAGAAGCTGAGGTTCATGGTTGCAGATTGTGATGCGATGGTTGCTGCAAATCAATCAAAGGTATCTACTTGTCATCGTCATTGTCCTTGTTCTGGGAGTTGCCTCGTGACCCTGGAGATGTAAGGCAGTTGACATGTGAGCCCACGGCCAGCTTACACACTGTTCTAGATTGGGAGCCCTGCGCACCAAGCAGCTCTGTCTTTGGCACCTCAAGAAATTTACAAGCAAGGCGGCTCGATTCATTCAGACAGCAAGCGGGACCTGCTCAGAAGGATTGCGCCAGAGAAGTCCCGTGCCATCCTAGCTGCACCCAGAGGAATAGGTAAGGAGGAAACCCTAGACCCTGAACACGCAGGGTGGGCGGGCGGCAGGAGAAGTGTTCAACATACAGGCTCGCAGGATTTCGAGGCAAACCTTCCGCTCAAGCTGCGCCAGCGAGAGCATGAAGAACAGTTGTACTGTTTTTGCATTGAGAAACAGTAGACAACTAATGAAAAGTAATAGGCAACATGCTTACCAAGCCAATGCAAGTTTGACTCGTATTGGGAAATGGTCCCTGCTCTTGCGTTTCCGTAAACACAAACCAGCAAGACAAACCTGCCTTATGAGGGCGAAAAACAGGGTGGCGCCAGGTACCACAGGGATGCTCATGGTGTTCTCCCCGCATACCGATAGGTCAGAGTCAGACGCATGCAGGGTGTACTATGCCTGTAAAACCTCCCGAACCTGACCGCAAACGAAGCAAGCAGAAGAAACCCAAGTAACGAATTAGGCAATCAGCCCCTAAAGCCAAGGATGAGACCCAAGAAGAAAATGACAGCAAGAGTCGGCAGGCTGATTCAGAACTGCACTCTCCCCGCTTTCTGTACCATTGCCTTGGCTTTCGACATCATGAGCAGTAACCATTAGGTGATCTGCAGAACATTGATCATTCCTGCCGGGATCGCAGAGACGTAAGGCCTCCTTATCTCTTAAGGGCATGGACTCGCATTATGGATTCTCTGTGCAGCGGTGGAAGAGGTCACCATCATCATGAACTCATAGTCATGGAAACAGACACTGTCCATCATGGAGAACCACTGGCCAATGACACGGGCATTTTAAAGTTCTTGCAAAGCCACGCCGAACTGCTTGTCCCCATGTTCTGTTAACAGGGAACCGCATGTGCCAAGGTCAAAAATTGGATTTGCCAGCAACATCTAGCAAGACTGCAGTTTCAAATTGTTTTTGCTTCGCTCCAGGTACTTCGAGCTGGGTCTTGACAAAGTCAGTTCTGTGAAGTCTACAGACGCACAGGACAAGGCCTCCGGAGATGAGATTTCATCCGACACGTTGCACCGCTGCATCAGACAGAAGCCATTGTTTTGACAACGTGTTTATCTAAGCGATTTGGCTCAACCTCATTGCCCTTGCGTGCTGCGCAAAGGCGCGGAATGCCACGGCATGTTCTGCACTTGCAAGTTAGTCCGAGCCTGTTTCTCCAGACGGCCAAACCCGAGGTAGCATGTCCTCGCAAGAAAAGGAAGGACCTAGCTTGACTAAGCTGCGAAAGGCGGCAATGCTCCGACATCATTTCGCTCATTTTGGGCCTCATGCTTGTGTTGGGGAACTCTGGACGAGGTGATCAAAGAAGCCTTCAGCTGCTTTGACAAGCAACAGAGACTTGCCGAACAACTTGTCGTCAAAGAGCCATTGTTGTTCCCGTGAGATTTGGGTGAGTATTCAGGAAAAATACAATCGAGCAGGATGAGGCGCATGCCTCAGATTTTGCTTGCTCTTGCGGGGGCATTGTTGGCTGGACTGGGCCACAAGGCAAAGCATGTTCAGAAATGCATTTAAAGGGCTTGCAAGCGGTCGACAAGACAGTAAGACAGAAAGACATTTCCTGTGAGACGCTTGCCCTTGATTGAGCGGTGTCGCGCAAACACTTTTAAGGTAGAGGCGCAAGGTTTGACCTGCCGCTTCTGGATTCTTCGCAAATGCTCCGCCAACATCGTTTGGAACCTTCATGGTGTGGTATTCAGAGGCTCTTTAAGGCCCTCAAGCCTGAAGGCCTACAAGCCTTGGAGCCTTGATACATGCTCATTCTCACCCTCGTGAAACTGCCGAACATCCAACAGCCAGGGAATCCCAAAAGCTTTGCTTGAACGGTGAGCTCCTAAACTCTCAACACCTGAAGCTGCAAAAGTTTTAGCTGAAGATGCCCGAGGCCTGCAGCCACTGACGCATGTAAATGTCACCAAGAACATCGCGTGGGTTTGCGCATACTTCGCGCTGCAGTATACAGTTTTTTTTTCACTCCGCCTGCTTGCGTATGCTTGCCACATCGTTCTGTGAAGCAAACACCGCTTTGTTTCAAGGTCGGTGTAGTCATGCGATACTTGGGCCAATTTCCAAGCGAGCTGGCTACTTGGCACCCGGGGAAGATGTTGAATCGTGCTAGTCAAGCCTGACGGAATCAAGCTATGCAGGTCAGACCTAAAAGAGACCATAATTCCGGAGCTGCTTGAAGAAGACCCATCGCTGAGCCTCAGCATCTTGTGCCTTTCGGAAAAAGTCAAACTCGTCAATAGGAATGCGAAACCGCATCTTGTTGCAGCTTCCGAGGCGAGATGGCTTGGTGTCGTTCGAAGCCTTTGAACGGTTGATGCTGAGGCTGGAGTTCAGTTCCATGGCTGGCCACGAAGCGGTCAGAGCATATACATCCATGAAGCTGAGGTACTTAAGTGATCACACATATGATCCTGATGATTCTGAAACTCTCCTGGCAGCTTTCCGGGCCCGACTCTGAGCACCTCACTCAAGTCCTGCAAGCACGTGTTGAACGCTCTGCAGGTCCTGGACCCGCAGGGGCATGGATACATAGATTCCAACCTGATGCATGAATGGCTGTCCACCAAAGGTGGCAAGGCTTTCCACATCCCATTTCACGAGCAAGTTCGAGATATGTTGTGGGAAGCAAGGGATAACTGTTAATGTTAACAGGCAGCGGACTTTTTCAAAGAGCGCGAGACGTCAGACTTCCTGGAGTGCCCGCCTCGTGCACTGTGGTCTGCACATGTGTAGACCATCTCTTATCTCACACAACTTGGGCATACAAAGGGAGCCTGAGAGCTCAGTTGACGGCTTGCCAAATGCACAAAGCACACTAGCCAGCACCAGGATGTGGTTGCATCCAGAGTCACCATCAAACAGCTTGACTGCCTCAGCGCCGAACCCCCTTTTGCTTGTACAAATGCCAGTAGTCGGTAGTGGGGCTCATTCCAGACGGAAATCATTTCACGCTGCGTGCAGTGATCACGAGCCAACTTACGGCATTGTTCTCAACACCACTTGCATGGTTATCGTCGCTCATTGATCTGTCATGAGGCAGAGGGAAGAAGGCTCACAGAACAGACCAAGGTTTCAGTCTTTAATGGCATAGCTGCCAAGGAAGCCAGCAAACATGTCTTCTCTCCATATGTTCCTCCTGTCTATCCTGACCCAGGCAGCCAGCATAGTTGCAAGCCGCCTGCTTTTGCCAACAGTGGCAGCCAAACGAGCAGCGAATGCGACTCCATATGTTGTAGGAGATGTGAGGCGAGTTCTGCCAGGAGCCAATAAACAATTCCATCACTGACAACCCAGTGCCTACCAACAAAACTTCCCTTCGTCAAGCCTTGCCTGCACCATGGGTGCGTGAGACATTTTGCGCTGCGGCACCCGAATTATCGCTCATGGAAAAACAGCTCCGGGGCCCATGCATGTCCTCTCCAGCAGCGGAGCAACCCAGAGGTCGTTCTAAGCTTTGCGGATTCATGTGAACTAAAGCAGTTTGGCAGTGTGGATAAGTCATGAGGGTTCTTTTGACTATAAGCTGTGGAAGTATCTAGATTGTCATAAATTCAGGATTTCAAATGCTCGTTCAGTGAGCTGCAATGCCCCAGATCCTGTTCTCTGCGGCCACAGGCCTATGCAATGCCTCATCCATCTAGGTTGTGCAAAGATTCCTAGGGGCCTGACCCCCTGGTTTCAGCTCTCTTGCAAAATTCTGAGTTGCAGAAAGCAGGCCCCAGCAGAAGCCCAGGATCCCTGGAAGTTGAACATCTTTCGAGCTCAGGTACAACCAGTGCCCTGACGACAGATGCATTTTGCTGCGCTGCTGCATGGAGTGCCACTGAAAAAACACAACAGCCTCTGCAACTACAATCTGAAGTTGAAAGTAATCGTCCAGCAAGTTCTGGAAGAAATGTTCCCTGCGGCCCGGCACCCACCAGCTAGCCCCTGCTCGATCCTGTTCCTACTGTTCCGCAAACGACTCACCACTTACAGTCCTGCAATGCGTGAAACGATATAAAACGACAATCCGTTTGCTGCAGAATGCCTGGGCTTCATGGTTGTGCGAGGGCTTCTATTACTTCTATTCTACAAAGTCAAACTGGACTACTGTCATCATGAGGCCTCCTAACGGGCCATCAAAGGTGGACATAGGGTCTCTTTGATAGTGTGGTATACTCCCTGCATTATTTTCTAAAAGGAGCCCATGCTCAATAACTACATAAGGGAAATTTCGATTGTATATAGCTCTAAAAAATGTAGGATCTAGAAGTTGCACGTACATGCTGGCTGCTGGTAGGGTGCGTAGCCTCTCCGCAAGAAGCAACGAGCTCCCAGAAATTTCTGGACCAACCGTCATGTACATCTTCCAGAAATGAATCCTGCACACTGACCTTCTGCTGCTTTGTGCAATTTACGTGCATTCTAACCTCAAGTTCAACAGACCGAATTCGCTTCATTACTGCAAGCTGCAGTAGCAATCTTGAGTCGCTGCCGAACCCGAAGGTCATGATCCAACACGGAGAATTTGTGCAACCTGGAAAATACAAAAGAAGGTAGGCCATGGACGGCACGCCCAGCAAATCCTCCAAAATGCAACTTCGTAAATGTCTTCAATGAGTTCTGAAAACATGCAGCGTCACTGCAGCAGTGACACCTTTGAAGACTAATTTCATATGAATGTTGAAGGCCAAAAAATGATCTTCCCCTGGAGTTGCGGCCGGACCAATCCGGCATTTCAAACTCAAGGAGTTGAAATAAGAAGCTATTTGGGGCTGGAGCTGTCTGCGGGAGGAAGGGGAAGGGGAGGACTTTGACAGATCGTTCGAGCCCGGAATTTATTTATTCTCACCTCTGTCTTGCATTACCATCCCCATAGTGCAGCGTTCTGAATGGGTTGATGCTAAAAAGGTCACATTCAAGTGGAACCGCAACTAACACCGAAAGTTTGGAAAGATTTAAGAAGTGTTCTGTACAAAATGATTGGGGCGTACATGCTCAGTTGCGAGAAGACTTAAAAACGCTGCAACAATGCCAGATGACAATTATGTTGTGGCGAGCATGGTCACGATTTGAGAGCAAGAGCCATGCGATAAAACGGCACTCAAACTGGTTTTGGAGAAATATGGTTCCGGTCATAGTCTAGTTCATGTCTCATCTGTCTCCATCCGTCGGCAACCCTCAGGTATCATTCTCACAGGTTTGGTCGCTGCCATTTTCTCATCATTCGCATGATGTGAGGCCTCGCAGGGGTGCCCTCGTCCATTGGTTTTCCCTGCGTTCGCGTTTGCAACCCCGTGTCTTGCATTCTGAGCAGGCCGTGCTTTACTCAATCCTTTCGTTGAGGTAACCTCTCAACAGCCAACGAGACGACGATGATGATGATGATGGTGATGATGATGATGATGATGATGACCACAGTCATTGTTCTTAGCGGTTTCGCCACCACAAATCTTCATCAGCTGCATATACTCGCGTTGCATATCACCACTACGCATATCAATCTCCACGTTCTTAGCTATTATCCATGTCATGTCTTGTCTTTTTGAAGTATATTGTCTCAGTTCCTCTGCTCTCCACGTCGTCCTCCCCTCATTCTTCGTCCTAGTCCTGATCCTCCTCGTCCCTGTCCTTATCCTTCTCGTCTGTCAAAGCGTATCCGTGAGGATCACTAGCGACCTCTAGAAATTTAGATCAAAAGCTGTTTCGAATAGGCTGTTGAGCGGTCGCGACAACAGGGTAAGGATCTTGCCAGCTCTTACTTAGTATCTGCTGACGTGCAATACCTTCGCAGCTTGTGCAGGTATGCAAAAGATAAGGAAAGCTCTGATTCCAGCCGAATCTATTACGAGGACAGGGTTGATGGCGTTGAACGGGCCTAATCCAAATCGCAGTAGCAGCTCCTGTGGCCACATGTGTGTTGGTTTGTGGCTGACTGAGTGCATTGCAGGGATCCATTGTGGAGTAGTTAGTGGTTTCATCTTGGTGTGTAAGCGCGGCATCACGCACTAGTTCACCTGCACAGCGCGAAGCAGCATTCCTACACGTGGCGTTTGGTCAGCCATCTCCAGGGGTATCAAGCTCATTCTGACTGACTTAGAACAGCATGACGTGACTTGTTGGACAAGTCAGCATGCCCCGCCAGGACTATGTTGCCAAGCTAAATGCAGACATCGAGAAACATTTGGAGAACCTGTACCAGGCTCCTGGCCGGTCTTTGATGGCTTCTGGTGCTCTTTGAAGCCTGGTGTGCCTTAGCAAGGTCGCACGAGGCTCTGGTCGTCATGGGCCAAGTGTTCATACTGAATTGTTCAGGCACATGGCACAGTGCAGCTAGCAGGTCAATGAAGCAGCCGTGTGAGGCGATCATGTACTCTCAAGTTAATGCGATTTCCTGCCGCGCCTCTCGCAAAGTGCAAGACGAGAACGCGCTAGATCTGCATGTCGATGCGGGGAGTTGAAACTTGGCTCCAGCCGTGCGCGGCCTGCCACAAATGTGGCAGAATCATTTGCCACGAATTCGACGTATTGCGCATGCCTTCATTGGTGGATCCAGCGCAAGATGAGAAATCCAGAAAGTGGGCGGCTGTTTGCATGGAATTGGATGTCTGCTTGCCCGCACAGCACTGAAGGAACTGGTGAACAAGGCTGGGACTCGAGATGCAGGCTTACCGGACTTAGCAGGCCTCTTCTCAGCGTCTCGCCAGGTCATGAAGATGCAGACCGAGATGTATGGGGTCTGATTCATCGTCACCGGCGCTGTTGTACATATTGCACACACGCACTTCCTCCAGCGAAGCCAAACACGGTACACAAAAAAAGCGCTTGGCGAAAAGTTGCGGGCAGTGGTAGAGAATGCACCAGCCCTGAGCAGCGCGGCTTTGATCCCTCTTCCCGCATTTCAGGCGGTAGACCATCTTAATCTCATCCTTGGCGAGAAGCTGCTCAAGTGTCTGATTCATGGTATCCAACATGCCTCTTTCACATCCAGCTAGCATAGATTACTGGAAGGGCTCCGCAACTTCAACAAAGAATGTAAATCTACGTGCATGATTCAGATTTCCGACATGCGTAGCGCCACGTAGATTAAGATTAGCTGTGCCTAGCCTACCACCCGTGCTTGCCTTGCGGGCAATATGGTTCGTGCCTCAGATTTTCCAAGCTTCAGCAGACGCCATTCATTGCAGGTGTTTCGCTTGAAAACCTCTGGTTCACCAGGAGATGCCAAGCACTTCTGGATCGTGGCAAGGAGTGGAGACCTGTCACCGTTTGAATGTTGCAGCCTGTGCTGATGCCTGTCTGGAGCAGCCTTGAAGGCCCGGCAGTGGAGAAGGGCGCGCGCATGGCTCTTGCCTTAGCTGGGTTAGCCCCTTTGCAGACTCAACATGAGATGGCTCTCCTCTACTTTCTGGTGAACGGCCTAACTCTGGCAGGTGAAGTTAACAAAAGCTTCCGAGCGATTGGTAAGCTGCTCTGCAGCAGACATTCTAAAGCAGGACTACTGGATGGCAGGTCTAGTCAGTTTCATTGATCTGCACAGTCTATTCATTGCTATGCTGCAAATGCCTCTATGTGGAGCGGTCCCATGTGGCATGCAGCAACGGCCTGGCTGATGGAAGTTTCCAAGTGCCAGGACTTCGAGGCAATCTTTGGCACTGCTTTGAATGGCAATGATCTTCACAGCTTGCCGCAGGACGCTACCATGATTTTATTT